CATCTGTTGGCTAAACAAACATTGCACAAGTACTGTATGTGAATTGTTGATCACAAGTTACAATTTACAATTATGCACGATATCCCCTCTAAACGTTGCTTCTCCAACCCCCCCCATTTAAAAAAAAACTGGACAGCGATACAGTTCTGAGTCATCCACCGCATAGCCTATCACTTGTGCTTCTGAGAACGTCTCACCGCCCATCAGAACAAAGTACAGTACCTGAACACCCCATGGGTCGGGGATGTTTTACATGCCCTTTGGGCCCACCTATGCCAAATCTACAAAGCATAGTTGGATATAGAATACTATATGTATACTATATGATATGCATATAATATATGTGAGTGTATATATGTATGCAATATATATATATGTGTGTGTGTATGTCAGTGTATATGTGAGTGTGTGTGTGTGTATAGGTGTGCGTGCGCGTAACATAGATACATGCTGATGACATAGACGTAGATCTCCACTAGCAAGTGCATTCTCACACCGTCTCGTCATGTTGTCTTGCAGCATTTGGGCCATCGAAGACCATAAAGATAAAGATCCATTGCATCAAACACCCAAATTTGACCATATGTAGAACAAAAGAACGATGCGCACGGTCAAGTTCTACAACATATGACCCCTCCCCCAAAAAAAAATCACAATATCATTCGAGTCGACTCTGTCAACGACCAAACTGACCAAACTTGGTGTATCACCGGCGTTACAAAGCCCACACCTCCAAAGATCCAAAGATCTTGGCCCTTCTGAGGCTCACAATCATGAGGTCATGGAACACGGCCAGAACGGCCACAGTCACCGGTGACTTCAGTAACTGGATCAGTTGCATCTGAAGCCTCCGTTTGACCGTTTTTCTTGGGTGGGGGTTGCTGTCCCTAGAAAACCATCTGATCCTATTTGGGAGGTAATCCCCCACATCACCTGAGATTCTTTAGATGTCTGTGTTTCTATCTCCTTTGAAACCATTGATTCTTGGACGTTCTTTCTTGTGTCCTTTCCAAGCGCAAAGGGAAACGTGCTGGGCACGGACCATATTTCCAATGTTATTTGCCCTGCCCTCAGTGATAATATCTCAAATGCAAAAGTAACAGTTCACCTTAGTAAGTGACGAATGGCGAATGATTCACCACATGAAACCAACCAGGCTGTTAAGCCCGCATCCAATGGTTATTTTTTGGGGGTTTCTCACCTTATAGCCGCCAGGGCCTAAACAGCCCCCCATGATTGACGAACCGTTCGAGGAATTGGCGAGATCTATAAGTAAAGCGTAAGATTAAGCTAGTGCACCCATGAAAAATCGGGGCAACCCATAGAAAATAGAGTCCATCCCATACTATTTTCTATGGCATATATATCTATATATATCATCCCACTGCGGAATTTATGATATAGCCTATTTTTTTAGAACATAAAGTCCATAATGTTCAGAATATGCTTATTTTGCGTACGTGTCTAAACATTACCCTCTCATAAAGTAGCATAGATCCTGGCAGATAGGGGTTGGAAGATTAGTTTCAACTAAACAATGACTATTTTGTTTGATCTATGTTAATTTACCAGAGGGTACAGGATGGTCCCCCCAGTTATAAGTTTATCTATAATCCCCTTTAATTAGCCTCCCATCAACCCTAGTTATAAGTACTTATAGTTACACCTTTACCAATAGTTTATTAATCCCAGTTTATCTATAGTTATAAGTACTTATACCTCCCATCAACCCTAGTTAGGCCCTAGTGACTGGACTTATAAACCAACTTCGCCAACGAACTGGGGCCCCATCAGACAGTAAGAATCCCATAAGAATCAAATGAATTCCATATAATTTTGACATATACTTGACATATACATAATCATATACCCTCTGGTGAACTAACATAACTATGGAAAATCACCATGTTTAATGGGAAAATCAACGAACTAAATGGATAATCATATAACCTTGGTATCCACAAAAAAGAGTGTCCTGGAAGGGTCTGGTAAGTTACCCTTTACCTCACATTCAGTTTCTGATCCCGTGTCAAGATGATGTTCCAGAATCCCATCCCCCATCTTCACTAAGCAACACCAGTATGGGCGTGGCCGCCACCGCCACCGCCACAGCCAGACCCATGGGCGGCAGGCTCCAGTTGTTTGGCCCCAAGGGCACTAGGGCCAGGCCTGGCGTGAAATGCAATGAGTTTGGAAAAGCGTGGAAATATATACCTGTATGTGATGATGTAGTGTGATGTGATGTGATGTGATGTAATGTGATGTAATGTGATGTGATGTGATGTGATGTCATGTGATGTGATGTAATGTGATGTGATGTGTGATGTGTTGCAATGTGATGTGATGTGATGTAATGTGATGTGATGTGATGCAATGTAATGTAATGTAGTGCAATGCAATGTGATGTAATGTAATGCCATGCGATGTAATGTAATGTAACTGGTATGGCATGGCATGGCACATGGCATGGCATGGCATGGTATGGTATGGTATGGCATGGTATGTATGCATGCACAAGTATGTACAAGCATGTAAAATGTATAACACAAATATGTATATATATATATATATATATATGCATATGTATATGTGATTGCATATGTATGTATATAATATTGATATGTGATGTTGCGACGAGTTGTACAGAAACGCCATGACACCCTTTGCCATGGCCTAGTGTGAAAAAGCCAGGACGCTTCTTGATTCAACCAAGCCAAGGTCAATTCCAGAAACGTCAAAACATAGACAAACCCCCTGTGGATGGTTGCGAAATTCTGCACCAGTTGGCAACTATTGGCAACATAATTCAGCACTGTGTATAATCAGTGGTCATTTCAGGAACCTAAATTGGAGGTACCTACCATATATAAGGCTTATGTAATGCCTATGTAAGGGGATATCCCCACAAAATATGGCCTTGTTTGGTACTAACGTACCTCCATTTTAGGATCCTGAAATTCCCATTGATATAATGGGATTACAATGGGACAAACCATCTACCAACAGGCGCAGAATTTCGCAACATTTCGCAACCATCCCCCAGCTCCCAATCCCAACACATGTCGGCGGGCTCATGAGGCCAATGACCTCAATATATTTAGAAGGTTGGACTTGATCTTGAAGGTCTTGGATTGGATGATTTGGGAACCACAAGAAGTCAAAATCAGTTCAATAAATAAATAAATAGATAAATAAATACATACATAATAAATACATACACACACATATATACATATGTATATATATATACCGATTTGATTCCCTAGTTCTGGTCGATTTACCAGAGGTAGAATGAAAAAATCTCTTCAAAAGACACACCAACCAGGGTGCAAATAGCACATGAGATAAAGGATAGTAACTCGACAAAAAGTATTCTGGCGTCTTTGGTCTAGTCTATTTCCACCCTCATCAGTGGGATCCTATGACCCTAGCCTTCCCGGCATGGATGCACATGCCGTCTTGAAAGTCACCCCTGATCTGACTCCAACTGTGTGGTTTACAAGTGGCCAGTGCCACGGTCCGATTCCTTTCCCAAAGACTAAACCAAACTTGCGCACTGGATCCCTCCTCCTGACTTTGCCGAGCTTAATGCCATGCTTGGTGAATGTAAAAAACGGCTGAAAATGCTCTGATGGAGACATTGGGCTTCTCGCTGTGCTCCAATCAAAAGGATTCGGCTGGGAATGGTGACTTCACTGCCCAGTTCGCGACAATTCGACAAAACAGGTGGACAAGGCTTCGGGCGTTTTTCGATTTGCTTTGCAAATTGCCTCCCTCGACCTTTGGGATGCTATCCTGTTGAGCTCTGGTTTCCCCCCTTCCTTTACTCGCCCTTTGTCTAGTAGATTCCCACCTGTTGGTGCGCTAACCTTTCCCTTTTGTTGAGGAACTCCTGCATGTCACACATGCAGCTGCTAACAAAGTTGCTATGGAATGTTGAAATGTTGGAGTCATGGAATGCTGCTGGGTCCATCGCTCCTCTGCGCCACTTTGAAGGAGTTTTTGACAATGGTCGGGCTTCAAAGTGAAGCCTGTCATATGTGCACGTGAAAATCTCTTGTTCCAATATATCACCTAAATTCACACTGGTAGAAGTAGATCACAGCCTCGATCCCTAAAGTCTGAATGCTTTTTCGACTGGCCTGTCTGCAGCCTGGATCTGTAGGCCGCATCTACAATCCAGGGATTCTTCAAGTCTTGGCTGTCTCAAAGGCAAAAGATAGAATATATCTACATAATATATATATATGTGTGTGTGTGCCTACAGCCTCCAAACTCTTTTTTGGGTGGTGGTTGAAATAGCCCGGTTTTTTTCAGCAAGGCATTTGGTTACGGGAAATTACGACTAAATTACAGGAAATTATTGCAAATTACGGGCAAACTACGGGTAGAAATTTGGAAAACTATGTGTTTCTAAAAATACAATGTTTTTCTTAAAATCTTGGGAAAAAGATGTTGTTCGATTTCAACCCCAAAAAAAGTGGGTTAAGGGTGCCATGGGTGTATATATATATATGTATATATGTATTTATTTACTTATTTATTTGTTTAAACGTGGTTAGAAAAATCCACAAAACAAACAATACAAAAATCAAATGATGATCACAATTTAAAAATGCAAAAAGCAAATAAGGACCATATTCTAGATATATTCCGAAATAGATTGCGCAAACCCATCGCCCATGTATGAAATGCATACTCTTCAATTGCATGGGTCCTTTTCTTATTATATGATATTATATCTACTGCAATGGGTCTTGGCAATCACTGGGCAATTTTGCTGGTGCGGGCACGGCCAGCCATGTGGTTTCTCTTGGGCAAAGCGTTTTGGTTTTTCCGTGGCACCATGCCTTTGACATGCTGAGATTCACCTTGGCGGCAGTGATGCATCTCCTGGCACATCTCTCGGGTAATCGGCAGACCTTTTCTTGTCCACAGCACCACGTCTGGAGCCGACAAGATTTGGTGCTCTTCTCCAAAGGGCACCATTTTGGCACAGTGGCCACAGTGTTGACAGTGGTCAACACATTGCTACCACGAACACTCACATCACCAATGAGGTTCCAATGTGAGTGCCACGTGCGTCACGGTCTCGTGGTCCAAAGTTTGATAATATGTGGGCCTTTCGGATCATGGCGTGGGTTCTCCAAAAACACAATGCTTCATCGATCCGACTGCCATGACCTATCATCTACAGCTGTAAGTGGAGTGTCCCTTCGCCACGTTTGGGAAACAGCCTCACAAAATTGCAGTTCAGCCATCTACCCGCGCTTTGCAGAGTGAAGCTGAAACCCGGGGCATCGTGCACCATCGCTTCCGGGATGCACATGCTTATCATCTGGGTAAAGTATGGTATTCCCCATCTAAAATCAAGCTATGTTGATGGGATTCCCAGCGCAATCAATTAGCGGGGCGAGTTCTGAGATTACACTACTTCACCCAGAATATGCTTATTTGTAAAATTTCGGCAAGCACGCCAGGATGAATGAATCAATTGATGATCCATCCCTGTTCTCTTCTGGTTACCCCAACAAACAATGAAACATGCTGAGGGATCTGCTGTTAGGCCCTGTCTGGCCTCTACACATTTGATGGCTTTGGTAAACTGCTAACTGACATTTTCAGGGTGCATTGGCTGGACCGTGAAGAAAAAATGCACATGCTAAAAAGAACGCTCCTACCGCCTGCGAATGACATTGACTGACACTCCCAGCAAGGTAGCTCAGCTGCTCATCTTTGGAGTTAATTCCATGAAGTCAGGGACTGATGTGTTCCCAACATTCACACAGCATCTATCATATCTAGCATCGCAACCTCCCTAAGATTAGCCCAGCAAATGCACGTGAGTAACAAACATCCTCTTATAAAGAACGAAACATGCTGAAGAATCTCCTGGGGCGGCTCCTGATGGCCTTGGTAAACTGCTAACTGACATTTTCCGGGTGCATTGGCTGGATCCTGGAGGCAAAAAATGCTCCACGCAGACCCTGCGACAAAGAATTCCAGCAAAAAATCTGTGCGCAGCTGGGCATGATCACATGCAACCGTCGGAGGATTCGTGCGTTCCCCAGCAATTCACATTGCTTCTCTTCAGTCCAATGTCGAGCTCTGATTTCAGATCTCCATTGTCCTGAAAGTTTCAGCAAAATGGACTCGATTGTGGGCCTCAAATGAGGGCGCTGAGCGTTGCTCGCGTTCCTCCGGGTCTTGAACAGGGACTGAGAGCCGCACCTCTTCGACCCCCTTTTCTGGCTCCTCTTCGACATTGGCATTCCGGCTGTGATCTGCTATCGAGCTATTGAACATGTCGCCACCCTTGTCATCTGAGTTGGTGCGATCCGATCGAGCCGTGGAGCTGGAGATACGGTTTCGGCTGTCCCTCTCACTGGTGTAAGTGGACAATGAGACCGATGAGATGCGCATCTGGTTCAGTAAGCGCATACGTTGGTCATTGTCAAAGTATGGTGCCACGGTGGTCAACACGTTGGCCAACATCCTTCGGTCGTAGACGTTGAATTCATCAATGGTTTGGACCAAGAATTCGACGTCCACCTGAAATGCCACAGTTCCATACCGTTCCATGGAACATGTCCATGGTCAATTACATGAAAATCAATAAAGATCAAGCCCCGAAACGCATGTCCTCGGAAACCAATTCCATAGTCCCATGCAATGCATTTGGTCCTTTGGTCGTCATCCAAGCCTCCTCAATTGCCTCGCATAGGGCACTCAACCCTTGAAGCAGGGCAGTGGTTGATGGAGGTTTGCCAAGCGTCAAAACGGCCAGTTCATCATGACTTCCCATGGCAGCGCGGTGAAAGAAGGCAGTCAAGACCATAACCAGCAAAATAAACGTCACTGAGTAGAGACTTGCAAGGAGCACGCCTGGGCATGGCGTCAGGGCTGGAAGGCCATGGCTCTTCGGAGCTGTGAATCAGCTAATGGTAGTGGCCCACATGTTCATCATCTTACTGTTCATGGAAGTCCTGCACCGCCTGCACCTACTATGGATCATGATCACCATAATCATCATAATCCCGGCCTGTTAGATGGCACCTACTATGGATGTACTATATGACCTACTATATGTTAATCATGTTACTGTTAGATGATGGTCATATATGGTCATGCATCGACAATATGTGGTACATCCATCGATTTTCAGGCCCGAAAGCCCACCTGCCAACGCCGAGAATGCCGAGGCAACTGACAGAAGCAAAATGAGTAGCATGCTCATAACCTTGGATTTTATTCGCGATGCTGGACAAGCAATTGTAGCTAATATAATATACGGTAAATATATATATACATAGAAACATTCAAAAAATGTCAGTGCTTCTTCGATGGACAACTACCCCGCTAACAATTTAGATGTCAATAAATTGTGATAAATTGTGAATTAGATCGGCTTTTCAACGAAATAAGCACCTTAAACAAACCGTAGTAGCTCCATCCGCCAAATTGATCAAGGGCGTTTTCCAAGGCCAAACCACCAGCTGGAGCACCATATAGACCCCCTGTGCTGCCGAAACAACTTACCCCGGATTGCCAGGAGATGGCACGAGTCCAAAGTCGGAAAGTTTTCTGCTTTCAGTTTGTCTGGACAAATCTTCTCTCATGTAACAAAAAGTTAAAAAGCAGGTGCCAAAAAATATGCTGGACTCTCTCAGCGGGGGATGTCAAAGATGTCAAATGCCAGAGTCAACCTCGTCAAATACATCAGAAAAGATGTCAGTATAATAGAGGTGCTTAGTCGTCAGATGTCAGGTTGAGCTAAACCATAATTAATGATCCTAAATTATCATAATGGTGATGTTCACCTAGTAAATTCACCCCGCCCATTCAACGACCACGCGTCATCCTTCAAAATTCGCAGCTTCAACGGCTTTTCCGAATGAATACTGTTACCATCGGTTGCCGGGAAACTTCAATACACCATGATCATGCATGCCTTATGTAAAAAATGTTCCACGATTCCACGGAAGGAATCCAAATGTTCCACGACATGCTTTCAACATGTTTCAACAGGAAATGAAGGGTATCGGCCCGTCGGGCCCTTCGGGCCCCTTCTCTGGACATGCTCGCGCACATTCACCTGTAATATCCTGTCCTTATGTTTTTAACAGATGCCCCAGATGGTTGTGAAAAAGTTTTGGGGGTGTTCACTATCATGTTCACTTCTTATTTTGGAGGTTTAGAATTTTAGATTGCCAAGATCTTCAACTGTCACAACCTTACTGGTGCTAAACGCAGGGAATTTTCGGGAATGATCCACCGGCTAACTATATTCATCCCAGCAACCCCCAGCAACCCATCCATTCCCTACGTTTCGCACCAGTAATACTAAGCAGCCGAGCCATCTTCCATATGCCGAGTCTCCAAGACCGCAGTCATCACGAAGAGTTGCACCTGTGGCAAATCCGTGAAGACGGCCATGGGGACGGCCAGCATCGGTCCGCGCAAGATCAAGCAGGTGCCATACCACCAATAGTCGGGGCGGAAACGCATCATTGTCTGCCATCACCCTAACTCTTGGAGTGGAGGCAGGTGAGAAGCAAAACAGGCCTCGTCGGGGTCCAAGACCTAAAGCTATACACGTATGATATGCAAGTTTGCAAACATGTGACACATTCCCCACACCTGGTGAGGGCCGGAAACGAGTCCGGAACCAAAAGAAAGCTAAGAAGCCTGGACACTGGTGGTCGTCATGCCAAACTCTCAGTTCGTCTTGTACAGGAAAAAGTAGCCCCCCCTGCTAGGACTAACCAAAGCTGCAAAGCGCAGAAGGCCGAAGCCATGAACAATCCACTGAGATCCCCGCAGTGGCCGGTGCTTGGGGAAAAACACCTCCCTTGTGAGTAACACATGTTCCAGAACTGAAGGGGAAACGAACCCCAATGTGCAGCCAGTCCAACTTGAAGAGGAAATGAACCTCAGGCGAACTCTAACGACCAAGGTAGAGCCGGGCGAGCCGAAGGGCCAGCAACCAATGAAAAATTGCCCGGCAGGAGCCACCATACCTCCCTTTCGCAGTACCCAAATCCGGTCCAGTCCAACTTGAAGGGGAAACGAACCCCAGGCAAACGTTAGCTCCAGCTCTAGTGCAGAATCGAACACGCAAACGACCCGGACGTGGCACTACGTGCGGCAAAGGTGATGCCGTCCGCAGCCACGCAGCCCAAGCCATGGTGCCGTAGAAACCTGAAAGAACAGGTACAGGGGAACTACGGGGCGGAAACGAAAGAAGAGAAACCTGCAGTCTGGATTATGGCGATTTAATGGTGGAATAGTCTGGATTATGGTGATTTAATGGGGGAATAGTCTGGATTATGGTGATTTTATGGGGAAAGAAAACATGGAAATCCCCTGGAAAATGAAGGGGTTCATGCGAATCATGTGGGTAAAACAATGCCATTTTTACCACCCATGACAGGGAATGGTAAGCATATATACCACCTATTTATGGTGATCACAGGGTGATTGTTGATGACATTGTTTTCGCCACATTATTGCAATTCCACTGATGCCAGCCCCAACTTTTGAACTTCTGCTCCAGGTATCAGCTAGTTGCCTATCCATAGCAATATCACTGACAAGCTGACTCTGGGCATAGATGTGCTTATTGACCAGCGAAGGTCACCCCCCTTCATTCGCTCGCAAAATTGGAAAATGAATGACTGTAATGACCATGTTTCTCTGGCTACGACCATTTTCTAGAAATAGAACCCTCGCATGTCCTGGCGACAAGAAAATGGTAGGACCGCTCCTGCCTAGTCCCCGTTGATCCCAGCTATCTGACTGCCGTTAATTCTCAGGTCCAGGCACCACCCAAAGAAAGTGAAAAATCGAATTGTATTTCATGTTCGTGTATTTTGTCGATTTTTGTCGATTTACATTAATTTTATCATATTTTATCCTGTCCAGTTGTGCTTCACTTCGGCCATTCGTGCTTCATTGTGTCATAATTTTCTCTGTGTTTTCTTTGTGTATTTTCATGCTGTGCATATGGGCTGTTGGAAAATCGGGCACCCCCGGCGTCATCCCTAGAAAATGAAGTGCCAACAAGCCTGTTCCCTCATTTTCTAGACATGGGGTATGGGAAAATCTGTCGTTCAAACGGAAATAATGGCAAGGGCTGGCAGAAGTCCCGAACACCATCCCCAGAAAGCATGTAGTCGAATTGTGGTTCATCTATCTTCATTCTGTCCACTTGCTTCATCTTGTCCATTTGTGCTTCATTGCGTCCATTGGTGCTTACTTGTCTTCATTTTGCCTATTGGTGCTTAATTTCGTCCCTTGGTGCTTAGTTTTGTCTAATTCTCTCCATTTCTGCTCCATGTATCTTGGAAGTTTAGTCCATTCCTGTTTCATTCTGTCCATGCGTGCTTCATTTTGCCCACCAGATGGAAAAATTGCAGAAACACATGGCGATTGAAGCTGCAGGTCATTCAAAAATGGCGGCAGTAATTTAGAGGCAAAAGGAGATGAATATTTTCTAGGGCATTTGACCGTAATATGACAATTTTCCAGAGGAAAAAATCAGGGATCTTGAAGAAACCGGGCATGACATGGCCAAGAAACCGGCTGGTCTTGAAGAAAGTGCCATCATCATCTTTTGACTTCGCCGGGGCAATGCATGTGAGGAACAGCAAGAAAACCCAGTAGCTGCACATGACAGCCACCATGGACACCCCGAAGATCACCATGATGATGTGTTCTTCGGATTCCCAGCAAATCACATCACTCAGTTCCAGCACGCTCGACTTGCCGTTTGGATGAGTGTAACACATGAAGGGCAGCAAAGCCTCAGCAGATTGGAGGATGTTAAAATACACATTTCAATGTGTCAAATCTTTGGCATGATATTCCCACTGTTAAAAGTACAAATAGATCCCAATGTGTCAAATCTTTGGCATGATATTCCCACTGTTAAATGTACAAATAGATCCCGTTCGGGCCAGCGGACGGAAGTTACGGGACAAGGACTCATAAAAACAAAATCAGGTGGTCACAACAAACTCTTCGAAGGAACACGGTCTAAGTGAGAACCGCATGGTTTGAAACGCCAAAAGACTTCATAGGGCACCTGCCACCAACAAAACTGATAAGTCCAAATTTGACCAAATTTGCGTATATATGACTATCTAGGACCCACTACTGTAACTCAGGAGTCCACGAGCTCATCGACTCTTTAGCTCACCAACTCACAACTATGAAACAGCCCACTTCTTCAGAAACCGGCTCGGCCAGTCAAAGGCTCTTCAAGTCACCCGCTAGAATCCGGTAGGTATTTCATGCTGGAAATCTAATACTTTTCATATCTTAAAAAACTTTACTTCTCATGTCTTTCTTCTTGTGGGAGTAGTGAGGAATTCAGTTTTACTGAGATTTCTTCAGCCAAAAAGATGGTATGAAGTATTGCGTCCGTACGGATCTGTGCCTTCAAGGTCTCTCATTAAAGTTCCGTGTTTCGCGAGCCAGGTGGTGAACTCGTGAGGCCGTTGAGTTTTCTCTACAAATATATGTATGTATGAATGAATGAATGTATGTATGTACGTACGTACGTACGTATGTGTATATATATATATTTATTTATTTATATTTATGTATATATAGATTTTTTATTTAAATATATATATATATAATATTTATAATATATATATAACACAGAAGTCTCTTGTCCAAACTTCCTTTGATACTTCCATTCATCAATGATCAATCTGAAGAATCTTGCCATCTCATCTATAACTTCGGACAGCCCGCTACCTGGAAAAAATGGAAAGCAAGGGGCCGTTTTGGACATAATGGTGAAGCCGATTTGAAAGATCTGCCCGCCGGTGCTAAGAGCCTTGGCCCTTTCAAAGTGATACTTGAGAGGCAGAAGCCGGGAAATTGCTCCGCAAAGAGACAGCCAAAGCAAGGCTCCTGCGGATGATCATTGAGGACATGTGATGACCATGGCAAGGGCCTCCCTCTTCTCTCCCATTATGGAAGAAAGCTGGGTGATTTCACATGGGCCACCATGGTTTGGGTGGGCCCTCCAGCTCGGGATACCTTAGGAAGACCATCGATGATTCATAGTCATCAAGATCCATCAACATCTATCAGCGTTCATCAACATAACAATGTAGTAAACCTGTGAGCAAGACATGGTGTATAGATGTGTATATAGCATGCCCACATGGTAGAATTAGGTCTATGGTTCATCATGTCGTTTGCAACCTTCTTATTCGTCGCGATAACTTCAGAATGATCAGTCATCGCCACACCCTACCCGTGCCCCACGTGGCCAAAACATTAGCCAAGACCATACCATAGCCATAGCCAGCAGCATGCCAGCCAACATTAGCCAACCAATCTCCTGGCCAAAGAAGTACACTGTTGATGTAGGACATGAAAGGTTTGAAGCCCCAACAGCTCAAATTCAAAGCCCGCAAATCCAACATGAAAAGTGAAGCCTGGCGCTAGTCGGCGACCAGTCAGCTGGCTTTTTCGTGGGGGCATCTGGGAAAGGGAGGAACACTGGAACCCTGGAACCCTGACAATGGATGTCTAAGTCTTAGAAAAAGAATAGTTTCCCGCGTGCCAAATGGAGTGTCACCTTAAGATTCAGCGGATCTTAACATGAGCGCCTATGAGGAACTTGATCTGCAAGCAAACTGGATGTTTAAAACTGTACTGAGCAAACGGACTGCTCTACATTATTGTCCCGCATTTGATTTGGGGGGTGCCTGAAACCCAAAGAATTTATCTGAAGGCTGTCATAACAAGGATCGAAGTCCATCAAGGGTTCCATATACTCTGGCCACTTCATCTTGACAATGCCCACCAGCCCCACAGTCTGCAGCAATGTCATGGTCATCCCAAAAGCGATGGCGGTGCTCAACAATGTGGAGGCCTGGTGAAGGCTGACTCACCGGCCGGCACGGGGGCCTACAGGCAGTGAAAATCGGAAAACACTTTTTTCGGACCTCATTACATTTCTTTTGGACCTGGACACTTTTACTGGACCTTGCTACATTTTTTTTGCAGATGGCTACCCTTCTTTTGGACCTGCGCACCCTCCTTCTGGACCTCATCCTTCCCTCCTGCTCGACCTGGCCCTTTCCCAAACCATACCCTTTTCGGATAGATTCTACAGTTTCTGTCCAGCTGGGAGCCTTGAACTCCAACCTGTGTGACAGGAATGACAGCTACCCTGGCTGCTGTGCCTGGACGGTAGGGGGCTAGAGCCGCGCTAGCAGCGTCTGCTTCGCAATCCCCAGGATGGGTCATGGGTGAGTTTGTTGCTGCTTGCGAGGGGTATAGCCAGTCTGGGAGCCTTGACCGCGCTAGCAGCTAGCATGCAACATGGCAGGAAGCCTTTCCTGTACACGGTCTGCTCTGAAACCATGCCCCCAGCCGTGTCTTGATCGCAATTCTTCAGACACAGTTCTTGCATTCATCTTCTTGCATTCCAGCCGTCTCTACATGTCCATACGTCCTGTGACCGGATACTAACCAACGAGGTTACATTGATTTCGATGTCGACTCATGTGGCACCCTCAGCTGCAACCATTGCGCCCAGGAGCATCCCTCGCCGGTACGTTTACACATCTGTCCATGACGGTCTTCGTTGCCTGCAGCCGATGTAGGTTCAATGTCTAGGCTTCACCCGTCAACTCTCAGCAACTTATTGCGCTCATCTTGTTCTAATATCTAACTTTCTCTTCCCCCAATGTGCCTTTCAACTTCCTGCATCCAGTTGGTTTCATATGTAGGTTTCCCCCCGTTGGCCTCTCCACAACTTCTTGCCTTTATGCTGTTTCAATATCCGAATTTCTCCTGCGCCCCTGTGCCTCTCAGCAACTTCCTGCATGCATTTGGTTTCAATATCTCGGCTTCCCCTGTCTCTCAACAACTTCTTGCGCTCATCTGGTTTCAATATCTCATTTTCCCCCCTGCGCCTCTCTTCAAACTTCTTTAACTTCCTGCATTCATTGGGCTTCAATATCTATACTCTCCAGGGAGTGCAGCGCCCATATCCTTGTGACACATTGGGTTTCCCACCTCCTTCCCATTCTGCCCTCTTCTTCTCAATTTCTACTCTTCACACCTCTGTGCCCCACTTGGGAGCATTCACCTGGCTTCAATATCTAAACTTCCCCCCCTTGTGCCTCTCACCAATTTCCTGCATTCATTCGCTTGCTCTCAAGACTTCACCTCTGGCCTCTTAACAACTTTTTGCATGCATCTCAACTTGGTTTCAATGTCTCTGCTTCCCCCCTTTGTCTCTCAAAAACTTCTTGCGCTCATCTGGTTTCAATATCTAACTTCCCCCCTGTGCCTCTCATCAAACTTCCTAAACTTCCTGCATTCGCTGGGTTTCAATATCTATACTTCCCCCGCAGCCTCCCCATAACTTCTTGCGTTCATTTTGTTTTAATATCTAAGCTTCCTCCCCGGTGCCCCACAACAACTTCCTGCATTCATCTTGCTTCAATATTCCCGGTGCCCCTGAGCAACTTCCTGCATTCATTTGGTTTTATATCTGGTTCCACAGTGGCCTCCTAAAGTTCCCCCCCACCTGTGCCTCTCCACAGCTTCCCGCATTCATGCGGTTTCAATATATCAGCTTCCCCTCGTCTCTCCACAGCTTCTTGCATGCACCGTCATTTGGGTGCAATATCTAGACTTCTGCTTCTCGTCTCAGCAACTTCTTGCGTTCATCCTTGTTTCGATGTCTAACTTTCCCCTCTCCCACCTGCCTCTTTCTCACCAATTTTCTACGGGCACCTGGCTTCAATATCTACATGTTCCCCCGTTTCTCTGAACACCTTCTTGCATGCATCTAGTCTCAATATCTAAATTCCCCCCACCCTCTTCTGGCATTCATGTTCGGGTCCCAAAAATTCCCCCTGCGTCTCTCAGCATTTTTTTGTGTGTATCTTAATGTATCTTCATTTCGTTTCAATGTCTAGGCTTCACCCCTCATCTATCAACAACTTTTTGCGCTCATCCTGTTCTAATATCGAGCTTTCCCTTTCCCCTATGTGCCCGTCAATTTCCTGCATCCATTGCGCTTCATACGTAGACCTTTTTTTTATTGGCCTCCCCACCACTTCTTACGTTTTTAATACGTTTTTATTGTTTCAATACCGGAATTTCCCCGGCATCAACAACTTCTTGCATGCATCTGGTCTCAGTATCTAAATTCCCCCCACCCTGTGCCAGGTCAAAAAAACGTGCACGGGATCCAGCCCAATGTGAGCGCCTATAACAATGGAGTTCCCCTCCCACCCTATGGAGGCAAGGTCCAGGAAGCAGGTGCACGGGTCCAAACTAGACGACGGATGGCCCGAGAGCGTAGAGGAGCAGAGTCTTCTTCTGCTGTTAGTATGGCGACACTATATTACAAGACAATATATTAAAGATGTATTACAAGCAGACGAGAAGAGTAGTATCAAGACAATATTATATGGCATCGTATCTTTTGCATCGTATCTTTCAAAAAGTTTTTCACGCACAGAACTTTTTACAGACAGACGCTTTTGCACACAGACGCTTTTACACACAGACGCTTTTACACACAAACACTTTTACACACAGCAAACACTTTTACACACAGAGACGACGCTTTTACACACAGAAGCTTTTACACACAGACGCTTTTACACACAAACACTTTTGCACACAGAGAGTTTTACACACAGACTTTTACACACAGACGCTTTTACACACAGACGCTTTTACACACAGAGGGTTTTACACACAGAGACTTTTACACACAAACACTTTTACACACAAACACTTTTACACACAGAAGCTTTTACACACAGACGTTATTACACACAGACGCTTTTACACACAAAAGTTTGCACACAAACAGTTTTACACACAAACACTTTTACACAGAGACGCTTTTACACACAGAAGCTTTTACACACAGACGCTTTTACACACAGACGCTTTTACACACAAACACTTTTACACGCAAACACTTTTACACACAGAGACGTTTACACCCAGAAGCTTTTACACACAGACGCTTTTACACACAAACACTTTTGCACACAGACGCTTTTACACACAGAGGGTTTTACACACAGACGCTTTTACACACAGACCCTTTTACACACAAACACTTTTACACACAGAGACTTTTACACACAGACGCTTTTACACACAGAAGCTTTTACACACAGACGCTTTTACACACAGACGCTTTTACACACAGACGCTTTTACACACAGAGACTTTTACACACAGTTGCTTTTACACACAGGCACTTTTACACACAGACGCTTTTACACACAGAGACTTTTACACACAGACGCTTTTACACACAAGCGCTTTTACACACAGACGCCTTTACACACAGACGCTTTTACACACAGACGCTTTGACACACAGACCCGTTTACACACAGAGGCTTTTGCACACAGAAGCTTTTACACACAGACGCTTTTACACAGAGACGCTTTTACACACAGACGCTTTTACACACAGACGCTTTTACACACAGACGCTTTTACACACAGACCCTTTTACACACAGACGCTTTTACACACAACCGCTTTCACACACGACATTTTTACACACAGAAGCTTTTACACACAGACGCTTTTACACACGCAAACATTTAACCACACAAGACGTTTACCACCCAGAAAGCTTTTTACACACAGACGCTTTTTTTAAACACACACAGACGCTTTTACACAGAGACGCTTTTACACACAGACGCTTTTACACACAGACGCTTTTACACACAGACGCTTTTACACACAGACCCTTTTACACACAGACGCTTTTACACACAACCGCTTTCACACACGACATTTTTACACACAGAAGCTTTTACACACAGACGCTTTTACACACAGACGCTTTTACACACAGACACTTTTACACACAACACCTTCACACACAGAGGCTTTTACACACAGGCGCTTTTACACACAGACCCTTTTACACACAGACGCTTTTACACACAGACGCTTTTACACACAGACGCTTTTACACACAGACACTTTTACACACAGACACTTTTACCCACAGAAGCTTTTACACACAAACACACACACACACACGCTTTTATTTTACACACAAACACACACTTTCACACACAGAGGCTTTTACACACAGACGCTTACACAGAGACTTTTACACACAGACGCTTTTACACACAAACGCTTTTACACAAAGACGCTTTTACACACAGAAGCTTTACACACAGACCCTTTTACACACAGACACTTTTACACACAGAAGCTTTTACACACAGACACTTTTACACACAGACGCTCTTACACAGAAGCTTTTACACACAGACTCCTTTACACACAGACGCTTGTACACACAAACGCTTTTACACACAAACGCTTTTACACACAGAAGCTTTTACACACAGACTCCTTTACACACAGACGCTTTTACACACAGAAGCTTTTACACACAGACGCTTTTACACACAGACGCTTTTACACACAGACGCTCTTACACACAAACACTTTCACACACAAAGGCTTTTACACACAGAAGCTCTTACACACAGAGGCTTTCACACACAGAAGCTTTTAAACACAGGCGCTTTTACACACAGACGCTTTTACACACAGACGCTTTTACACACAGACGATTTTACACACAGACGCTTTTACTCATAAACGCTTTTACACACAGACCCTTTTACACACAGACACTTTTACACACAGACACTTTTACACAAAGAAGCTGTTACACACAGAAGCTTTTACACACAGACGCTCTTACACAGAAGCTTTTACACACAGACTCCTTTACACACGAACGCTTTTACACACAGACGCTTTTACACACAGAAGCTTTTACACACAGACGCTTTTCCACACAGACGCTTTT